ATATCGGTCGACCTCTAGCTGCTTCTCATTGGTTACATAACACTTTCCTACTATTCGACTATGAGGTTCATAGTCGAATCAGACGTCTACGAATCTAATCGTCGAATCCTCGACTATTAGAAGTCAGCCCTACTATGTATTACATTTTAAATTTGTTGTAGGGATATTACAGATTAAAATAATAATAATAATAAAAAAATTACACCATACACCCACCATAATAAAATTGTATACCAAGAATGACAGATATATAAAACCGCAAGTCGTAAGTTAAATAGGAACTTCCGGTTAATTGTAACAATGTAACTGTGTCTACTTGGTAAGAGGGTGGGGCCTTTGCAAACCAAACTGCAAGACATATACTACAAAAAGTTCTTGCATAAGTTATGAGTTCACCAGTCAAACAAATAGACGGAATAAACGTGAAGTTCACTAATCAGTTGTCCCTTTTACAAAGGCTCAGAGGTTACAAAAACACCTAAACAAAAGTAGCTAGTCTGATTTATCACTGATGAACTGTTTCATATATGACAAATCACAAGATTCCACTGCCTCAGCATTCTTGCTGAAATTAACTAAAATGTCATTAGCGGACTAGCAAGTTAATTCATGACAGCTGAGAGGAAGACTGGACTCCTTCGGTACTCTGTCTCTTTGGAGAATCCTTGGGTACCGCTGGTTTGTCTTTGTGTAGAATGAGCGGTTGCTAGAGGAGTCCCGAATGAGTCACATTCCCTGCATTGTGAGGGAGCGTCAGTTACGGCACTACGGCCATGTGGTGCGTTTCCCTGAGGGCCATCCGGCTCGCAGGATCCTCATTGCTGAGGACACAAGTGGCTGGACCAGGCTAAGGGGACGCCCAGGTAACACCTGGCTGCGGCAGATGGATGGCCTTTCCGGAGGGTGGGACTGGATGATTCCGAGGAGTTACGCTGTGTGGTCGGTGCGGTAATGCGCTCTGTCAGCGCTTGCTTCCCAACCTGAACTGACCTGACTTATAATGACATTCAGTGAGCAAAATCTCATAGCATATTTTACTATTGATTTTACCTTAAGGATATTTGCATCAAGCACCAAATTAGCTTCTTTCCTTGGATTTCCTTGGAAATAATACAATTATATCTTCAGGAGCACGATTAGTGACTGTTGCTTTAAAGTTTGGCTAATTTCTTACACAAGATAAAAAATTGCAGTTTTTGGGGCAGGCTCCATAAATAATTTGTGCTAAATATACAAAATATATAAAATAATGTGCAAAAATATATCTTAGTGCATATCAAACAAATAAAGAATCTTTCAGAACCCTTTTCAGGTGTTTGTTTAGGAAGAAGAGCATGCTAATGTTTTCAGGCTTGGGCCGACTTTGCTTCTGATCATGTTTAGAAAACATTCTTTCTGCAGGAACCAAGATGGCACCAATTCCTGGGTATTTTTCTGTAATTTTTCTCTGGACAGGAAATGTAAAGTATCTTCCTTTGTTTAAGCCAAAGCAAAGAGTCTTCACTCCTTGGGATAATCCTTTCCTCCATGTGTCCACGCATATACACATATGTACTTCTTGCGTGCATCTTCTGAAAAGCAGTGACACAGGTATCAAATTCCTGTCAGAGACCTATGAGAAGATGGGTTCTTCCCTGCCTTGCTTCTGTAGCCTCCAGGATAGGCTCCAGACCCACCCGTGACCCTGCATAGGACAAGCGGTTACAGAAAATGGATGGAGGGATGAATGGCTCTATGGAGACTTGTGCAGTGGCAGTGGTAGCTGGTGCAGTGGCAGAGGTAGCTTGTGCAGTGGGAGTGGAAGCTGGTGCAGTGGCAGAGGTTCTAATATTTGTTGTTGCAACCTCAGAGGCTTGTCTATGTCTCAGGGTTTGCCTCTCACTGATGAGTGTGGTTTTCACATTTCACTCAGCTCCCCTGTCAGACACAATGGTTTTGCACTGGATGTCCAAAAGCATCCTTGCTCTAAGAGTAAAGCTCTACTTAGTGTTCTAAGTGACATTCTGGGAAGCCAGTGTGTTACTCATGCTTTTTGTGTGATTTTTGAAACACTTGTGCACTACTCTGTAGACACTTCTCTAGTTGCTTCCTCAATTCTTCTTAGTACTTTGACAGCTTGGCTAATCAGATCTAATCTGCACTCATAAAAGCATGTTTCCTCCAAGAAGAGAATGTGCTGCTGTCACCACTTGGTGTTGCAAACATAACGTTTCTTGTGTATAAAACACAGAACTCAACTGAGTTTCGGCAGCCTGAGGTAATCTGTGCTTGGGCAAGTGCAATTGACATTGCACATCTTTGTGTTTGTTAGATGCATTCACTCTAAACAGGATGGGGTAAGAGCTCAATCTACGTTAGCTGGCAACACAACAGTGGGTTAATTAGTTAATAACTCAATGAGATATTGATTACCCTAAATACCAGTGTGGTGGTAGCCAAGTCATAAAATACATGGGTATATTGAATGGTTGCAGCAACTACTGGGGTGACTTTAGGAAATTTTGAAATGATTAAGCTGACACAATTTGACAGAAAAAAACATTGCTTTACACAAACATGAAGATAATTTAAACATCATTGTCTTTGACTGCCTCACCCAGACTTGGGGCCCCTCCCCTACACCACTGCTAGCGATCTAATGTTGTCATTCAAAGAGAGGGAGTTAAACTTAAAACTAACATTATTATTGTTAAAAATATTGTTATTATAACACGATGAATGAAATGTTTGCCTTGTTGCATCTGCAGCACATCAGCCGTCTGAGGGGCATTCGGTTGCATCTTCTTCAGTGGTTCTGACGAATATATTTTTGTATGTGGTGAATACATGTGGTGTTTTGAGAACATGGTTCCCATGAAAGTCTTGTTGTTATGGTTGAAGAACCAATAATGGCCCTGCATTTTTGTAGAGTGGATTTCACACTTT